TGAATGAGAAAACTATATAACGAGACTCATGGACCCCCTTTCTTCACCCACTTTTTTGACCCCGCTCTCAGTAAAGGTGGTGCCTTCACTGTCCAAGGTGGGACGTGCTGAGAGCTGCAGAACATGAGATGCTTTCACTGTCCCCATCCTCTGTGAAAAACAAACAAGTCACGTTCTAATAGCAGTGTTACAAAACCACTTCAGGCGGCGTGAACTAAGCGGCATATTTTTAACTCTGACTTAGTTTTTAGTCTTGTTTCTGCAAATTTTATTATGTAACCCTTCAGATAAGTATGCGACTGCAGTGGTTTTTAAATTGTAATGCACACCTTATGTTGAAAATGTTTACAGAAGCAATTGTTTTGTTAAACCAATGTGCATCGATATGAATATTTATGGTTTATTTTGAGGGCCGTTTCTCCCTGTTTTGTATTTTGTATTATTCCCTTTTTGTACTATCATTTAGACGTTTGTGTACAGGAATGATCAACTATTCGCTCACCTTCTGGATTACACAAATCTGAAGTGGGATTTCACTGATTACTTTACACCGTGCACAGTGGGCCCCTGGCTGTGTGGCAGCGTGGATCAAATGTTTTCTACCACCCAGGTGCCAGGTGACATGTCTCCCCCCCTCAAACGTCTCTCTGCCATGCCTCTCTAATTTATGTCCTCTCTGTGTGTACTATGGGAATTACTGTATTTTCCTGAAGGTCTTTTTTTCCATTGAATAAAATCAGAAGTAATTTACAGTGTGGTGTCGTTCTTTAAAAAAAAAAAACACAATTACAAGGAAAAGTCCTGTGTTCAAATTAAAGATGTAACTTTAAAGTAGTGTTGCGACGGTTGCGACCCCTCCCTCACTGCTCTGTGTGTCAGTCAGGGAGGGTCTAGTCAAAGTGGGGACACCTGTGAGAGTCTCCACAGAGGTTACAATGCAGGCCTCAACCCTCAATGTCTCTTTTCTGTTCCAGGAGCAGCTCGGTTCGTCACACAAGCACACACACCTTATATTCACCCTTACCTTGATCCCTTTAACTCTAATGTATGCCTTTGTGTTTTTTGTATTATTATTCCTTTTGACTTTGGGGTTAAATAAGTACATCATTTATTTTGCATTTGAAATTAGAATTTGTGAACTACTTAACTAAAGCTTTCAGTAATGTACAAACCTTATTTGATTATTTTTCTAGTGTGAAGTCGATTTAACCTTATTAATTAACCTATTTCTTAGCATGTCAATATTACCCTTCTATAAAACAACTTCGAGTGTAAAGGTAGAGTTAAAACATATGAAAGCTCCTATTAACACTGCATTATCAAAATTGGTCCTGAAAATATTTTGAAAAGCGACTTACTGCAAGGAAAAACTGTCCTCTATTTAAATGTAAGTACCGTATTTGACCAGCAGAGGGCGCCATTATGCAGCCAATCCTACTTAATATTGCTTCCTAATTTCTTGCCACATTAGTAAAGTTAGCCTTCATACTCCACTATATAGTTTCCTCTTTTTGCCAAACTATTATCCTCAAGTCTTTAAGAGACATGATCCATTTACAAATAAGAAATTATTTGCAGGAGGATTTAAGATTACAGTGAATATAGCACCCGGAATCAGGTAAGAGTATTTGTATTTACCTTGATGCATTAGAAATGTAAATGATTGTGTATATAATAATGGTTACTTTTTTAAAAATAAAAAAGTATATTGTTATTATAATGAAATAGTATAATATAATGATCCTTTTTAAACCCAAGATTCATTGTTGTGACCTTTTTGTCTTTTTGTTTCCTTATAGATGAACTTCCTATCTAATGAATCATAGGTAAGATGTATTGGGAATTTAATAAACATTACAAGACAAGTTATATCTCTATTTCCATGCTCCAAAAACTAAGCATGCATTGGCTTTTATTCTGAGAATCCCTCAGAGCGGAAGTGGCCTGTCTCCCGGCAGCTTGACGCGGGTTGGCTGGGTCACGCTGCAGCCAGCCGGATGTTTTGCGTCGCCAGTATGTGACGGGAACATTTGCTCATTTCACCGAAGAACATAATCCTGCGGCTCTGGTCAGGTGAGTAGCCGACCACAGTGTTAGTTTATAGGCTTGGTTTGCTCCAGGACCTGTGGGAAGGTGTGGGTGAAAGCTGCAGAGAGGTCGTGACGGTGTGGTTTGCCGTGACCGTGCACGCTACTTGCGCGCTCCCAAACACCCACCATGTAGTTTCTGTTGCTTGTAAACCCCTTCAACAGGCGGATGCATGCTGTTGTTTATCATCTGTTTGACTCCTAATGCAGGGTTTAAAAGAGAGTAATGAGCAAACACAAGCTTCCACTAGTTCTGATGCATGCATCTGTCCCCCCCACCTAGTGTTCATCTGTCCCCCCCACCTAGTGTTCATCTGTATCCCCCACCTAGTGTTCATCTGTATGTGTCAGCTGTGTCTTTGTTGCAATCAGCAGTGATTGGCAGGAGGAGGTGATGTGAGCATGCACAAGCCCCAGCAGCTGTTTTATTTTTCTACATTTAACCCTTTAACTTCTGTACATCCCCCACTGATTGCAAGTACTCAAATATTGTACTTTAAAGTAGCAGTACCATTGTAGGAATACTACAAGTAAAAGTCCTGCGATCAAAATGTTACAAAAGTATTAGCATCAAAATATACTTAAAGTACCAACATTAAAAGTAGTTTTTATTATAATTATTGATCAGTAAAGTGTTAACAAAGCTGGTAAAGGTGCAGCTAGTTTGAATGAATTTGTATACTGTAGGGTAGTTTGTGAATGTACTTTACTTTAAAATCATTAATGACATTATTAAATAAATGGTTTTATAAGTTCAAACTCTTAATTTGATCAGGCCCTTTGCCTCTCTTGCTTTCCCGTTATGAGTATTGATTTAGAAACACTGCCATGGTGACCTTTGCCATGATATCCTAACTTAATGATGTTACTGATTTGATGTGTATTCAGTGGTTTGTAAAGGGGGTCAGAGGACAGGTCAGAGGGGACAGGGGGGTCTCCTGCTGCTGTTAGGACCATGCAGGGTCAGATTATGCATGCAACTCATGTATTTGTTTAAACCTGCCACATGGTTTCAATACTTAAAAACATACACGTATAGTAATTAATCTAAGGTCAAATAGACCAACATTCCTGGTCCAGCTTCTAAATTGTGTTTTAATGTTTTTGGTGAATTACAGAGAGGGTAAACTTAACTTACCATGTTTGGGTTAGACAATTACAATAGTCACCTTGAGTTTGAAGAAGTTATCACTGATCATATTTCAGTTTTCCAGTGTTCACATGTTCTCTCCTCTCATTGCTCTGCTGTTGAACTGTGCAGCTTACATTAGTTGTGTGTGCACTCGGTGTCATCTGTCTGGAAAACGATCACGCTGCAGTTGTTGGAGCAGCTCACACACCTGTTTGTTTGGACAGATGGTGTACAGAGCGCTCCTCTGTCTCTGTGTGTGTGTGTGTGCACAGATACTGTGCAGCGGGTCAGCTGCCGTTTCCTCTCATCGCCCTTATCTCACTGGACAAGCTGACCCAGAACACACTCTTATTTAATCAGGCAGTTGCTTTCCTGTTGAGCCACTAAGCTGCATTTTATTTGGCACCTTGACAGAGAACACACTAAAACACACTCACACCACAGACTGCCTTTTTGCTTTAGATTAATACCAAGAGATGCCAAGATAAATAATGTGTGCCTTATCTTGCTGAACTAATATCTGCTCTTGTGTAAAAACTAAGGAGCTGGATCATACTGCAACTATTTTGATAATTACTTTTCACTTTTCTCTGCCTTATATGATAGAAAACTGCATCTCCTTGGGCTGTGGGACATTTGTTCATACAAAATAAGAAATGGAAATATTCCAGAAGGGCTCTTGAGAGCGCAGGCCTCGTCCAAGGCTGAAAATAACAGTGTTTATCTGCAATGTGATTCAGATACACTCCAAATGAAATGGGTTCTTTAATCATCCATGCTCCGCCCTTTTCCCCCCAGAAAATATGGCCAGTACTTTTTACACAATCACACAAACAGAACTCATAACCTCCTTGTCGGTGGTATAATTAAGCTTGTGAGATTGGCTGTGGGTGGAGCAAAGACCAGCACTTATTTACAGGTTTGTTCAGACCCTATGATCCCTTTCGCTGATTGCACCGATAGAGAATACGACCCAAACTCTCCCCGTCCGTCCGCTCAGACTTCACCTGTAAACAGCTCAGCATGTAGGCTTCTACATATTCTTCTTTGCCGTGCTGGGTGCATTTTATTTAACTTCCTCCTTTTCGTCCCTATGCATCGTATCTTGAGTGCCACATTGCTGCATATTGCGTGCACGGTCTGGTTAGTACAATTAGCAGAGTGGTGCAAAGTGTCCCACAGAAGTAGTTCAGTGCAACAATGTTTTTATATTTTCCCATCCAGTTTTTTGTAAAAACACGTTTAAAGTGCATACAGGACACTCCTGCAAATACATATATTCATTTATCAGAGCTGCAACAGCAAGTCAACTGTCTCCATGATGTTAGGGTCCGATGCCTCTTTCTCTGTTTTATATATATGTAGGTTTCCACTGACAATACAAGCCATTTAAAGCCAGCACTTTGAACTTTCAGAAACCAGGATGGACAATTTCATTTATTTGTGACATTGTATGGACTTATTGACTAATCGGCAGAAGATTGATGAAAGACAGAGGCAGAGATTTGTGTTTCCGAGTCATCTGCCCTAAGTGTGCTGCAACAAAGACAAGCAGGTCCCCCCCTCGTACTCATTGGGACATAACACTTTTTGATGTCCCTCGCCCCCCCAGCACTTGTCCCTTTTCCCTTTCAGGCCGGCCACACTCTCCTCTTTCCTCCTGCACTCTCTTAAAGGCCAGGCCAGTCTTTCAGCCAGCCTTGGTCTTTTCTCCCCCTTTTGAACCCCCCACCCCGGGACAAAGAGTGAAGAGTGACTGCTCTGTAGCCAGGTGTTCTCCAGTGCTGCCCCGGGCCCTAATAGCCCCGGCCTTCACCCTGCAGCTGCCCTCCCCAGCCTCCCATTGTGTGGCTCTATTGTTCCTCCGCCCGCCCCTCGTTGATTCATCGGCCACACAGGGGAGTGTGTGTGCCGGTGAACGTTGACTACGCGTGCCTTGGGGAAACTGTGTGTTGCAGGCATTTGCCCAAAGCCACTCCCCTCTTCCTCCTCTTCCTCCCCCCCCCGCCTCTGCACCTCATTGTAAGGCCGCTGCGCTCTGATTGGTGGAAAATCAGCCACTCTAAATGAGGGAATGGCAGACATTGTTGCTCCATCTGTTCTGCCACTCATTGTCCAACTTGCCTGCTTCTGTGAAAGGAAAAAAAACAAGGCAGCGCTGGAAGGCTCAGACAGGAGGACAGAGGTGCTCTGGATGTGGCTGCTGCAGGAACTTTAGGACTTTCACCTGCAGTGTTTACCAAAATCTGGTTCTCCAAGGACTTCGATGTGTGGAAATGAGCTGAAAAACGTCCCTTTCTTCTGTGTTTGGTAATCTTTTAAGCTCTGGTAAGTGTTTTGCTTTTGACCTCACTCTCATTCTGAAATTATACCTTTTTTAGCTTTAAATTTTGGCTGTTTTATAAAAGCAATGAGACTCTTACCCTCCCTGTCACCTCACTGGGGCTATCGAGGTGATAAAATGCAATACCTGCATTACAGGTTCCCTAAAATACCAGATTTTAGAGAATTTTTAATATGCCTGTCGCGTTAATTGCACGTTGTTAAGTTCAGAATTAAGAAAATAAGGTGCAGTCCAGCTTGTCTTCGTGTTGATGGTGTTGGATGTGAAGCATTATAAATGTTTTAATGTGCAGCCCAAAGTCATAGGAGTTTTAGCACAGGATAACACCTGCCTAACTTCTATCTGCAGTCGCTTGAATTTGACGGGGGGGGGGGGCCTGGTGTTGACTTTTTTTTTGGTTTAAAAAGCTGTTATGTGGGTCACATGAGGCTGGAGGAAACAAATAGTGCGGTAGCTGGAGATGTTATCCTCAGAGGTGTGTGTGTGTGTGTGTGTGTGTGTGTGTGTGTGTGCTACTTTCACATTTGGTGTGTGTGTGTGTCAAAGACAGTCTGTCCTGCTGCGTCTTTATCCTCGCTCTAGTGTGTGTGTGTGTGTGTGTGTGTGTGTGTGTGTGTGTGTGTGTGTGTGTGTGTGTGTGTGTGTGTGTGTGTGTGTGTGTGTGTGTGTGTGTGTGTGGTGTGTGTGTGTGTGTGTGTGTGTGTGTGTGTGTGTGTGTGTGTGTGTGTGTGTGTGTGTGTGTGTGTGTGTGTGTGTGTGAGAGAGTGTGTGTGTGTGTGTGTGTGTGTGTGTGTGTGTGTGTGTGTGTGTGTGTGTGTGTGTGTGTGTGTGTGTGTGTGTGTGTGTGTGTGTGTGTGTGTGTGTGTGTGTGTGTGTGTGTGTGTGTGTGTGTGTGTGTGTGTGTGTGTGTGTGTGTGTGTGTAGAGATGAGACACCAGTTGCGCTCAGTAGACATCTGTTACCCTGCTGCAGGCGGGGATAGCCTAGCGCGCCATCTAGATGCACACACACACACACACACACACACTCGGCTGATTATCCTAGGACCGCCCCCTTTTTTACAATAACTTTTTCACAGTATCAGACATGCAGCGGTATATTGCCAGACAACCCCCGAACTCCGCCCTTTAAACCCCAAACCCTTTGCCCCCTCTCTCACCCCCTGCACACACACTTCTTTTTCTTACACAAAGCTCCCACATACAAAGCGCTGTAAGGACTGTTACATATTCATTACTGCCTCCATCAAAGCCTCGGTGCTGCTGTGTGTGGGATGTTTGAAAGATGCTCCCCCTGAGATGGAGAGGTGGCTCTGCCGTTGGTCCGCTAACTCTAAGCCTCATTTGGGAATTCCTCAATTCACGACATGCATTATTCTGCAGAGCTCGGACCACACCAGAAGACTTTTTAAATCCAAAGGCTGTTCAGATGTTGCCGTTAAGAGGCGAAAACAACAGGATTATTATCAGATTTGTGAAAACAAAATCAAATGAGGTTAATGTGATGCAGCAGATAACCTGCCATATGTTTCACAGATCAGGGTGTTTACGATACGATATGACTTTATTTGTCAGATCAAGTCTGAAATTTGACTTGCGTCCCAGCAGCTCCATGTCCAACATCCACAGACAAGTCTCCAGACACAATACATGAAACACAAACAACAAACATTTAACATAACAGCACAATCAGTGAGAGAAAAGCTGCTCAAAGCCTTCAGCGTGCATCTGATCTGGGATCAGCTCTGTGTTTACTGAGAGGACTGACTGATGCACAAAGGAGTGCTTCAGTCTGACCTTATTGAATGGTGGGACCCTGTATCTCCAATTAGATGGTAGCAGTTCATACTCACTGTTCAGAGCATGGTTTGGGTCAGAGATGATGTGGTTGGACAGCCTCACTAGGTTGTTATGATAGGCTGAGTCATAAGGCGCTTTCACACTGCGGTACTTTTCCCACAAAGGTTCATGTGAATTTAGTTAATGTGAACTCTTTAGTTCTCATGAACTAAATACAGATCACGTTCACACTGGAAAAAGTCCCTGGGGGTGGATTAGGCAAATGAAGCCGCTGACGTCACTTGTTCTTCTTCTGCTTTGGGTTTACTGGCAGGCCGCAAACCACTTCACGGCGTATACTGCCGCCCAAAGTCCCCGGCCGGAAGTCCCCGGAGTTGGGGACTGAGTCCCAGCAGCTTCTATTGAAGCCTTCCGAGTAAATCGCCAGAACGCCGACACCTCCTCATCTCCACCGCTCCCATGTTTTATTTTGTGTTGCCATAAGTTAGTCTCTCTGCGTTTCTGCGCTGGGCTAATGCTAATGCTAATAATGCTAATGCGAGGATAATAAAATGGCGGCTTCACAAAACTTTTTGGGAGTTTTGCGGGGCGTGGTTTGCAATCCTTCCAGCCAATCAGAAATATAGCTCTTTTCTCACAAAAGAGCCGCTCGAAACTTTCGAGGGGGTAAAAAGGTTCACATGAACTAATTTTAGTACCGGCTCTTTTTGGTGTGAACGCGATAAAAGAGTTCACATGAACTAAGTTCACATGAACCTTTGTGGGAAAAGTACCCCAGTGTGAAAGCGCCTTATAGAGTCTCTGACAGGTGGACCAACTATCTTTGAGCAGATTTTTAACAGGTGGAGCAGTTTTGTACCAGGTAGTATTGCAGTACTGTAGAATGGACATGATCACAGATGTAAAGAACAACAGAAGAATTTCTCTGCTCGCCCCAAAAGACCTAAGACGGCGGAGAAAATAAATTCTTTGTTTTGTCCTTTTGCTCAGATATTCAATGTGATCCTTCCATGACAGCAGACGCTCAATCATTACACCCAAGTATTTGTATGAAACTCCCTGCTTGATTTAGTCTGTATGGATGACAATGGGGACGTTTAGGTGAATATCAGACAATCTGTCCACTTGTAATGGTCATATTTACACCCTTGTTGTTGTTTTACATTACATTACATTTAGCTGACGCTTTTATCCAAAGCGACTTATAATAAGTACATTCGACCAGGAAGATACAACCTTGAAGAAAACAGAATCGTGTGTGTGTGTGTGTGTGTGTGTGTGTGTGTGTGTGTGTGTGTGTGTGTGTGTGTGTGTGTGTGTGTGTGTGTGTGTGTGTGTGTGTGTGTGTGTGTGTGTGTGTGTGTGTGTGTGTGTGTGTGTGTGTGTGTGTGTGTGTGTGTGTGTGTGTGTGTGTGTGTGTGTGTGTGTGTGTGTGTGTGTGTGTGTGTGTGTGTGTGTGTGTGTGTGTGTGTGTGTGTGTGTGTGTGTGTGTGTGTGTGTGTGTGTGTGTGTGTGTGTGTGTGTGTGTGTGTGTGTGTGAGATCAACATTAGCTGATGCCAAGGTCCCGGTCCTAATCACTCCTGCAGGTCTATTGTTGTCCCGGTTTGGGGTTGCCAGTGAGGCACACTTAAGCCCCTCCCTCCCCCACACTGGATCTTTTTGTTTGTGTGTGTGTGGTAGTAGGCGGGTCACCGACTGAACGCCACAGCCTCTGTCTTGGCATTTGGAAAGGGGGAGAATGCTTTCAACAGCTGTAGCTTAGCAACAGTAGCTGAGACGAGTTGCTAGGCAGCGCTTTTTCATAAAATGCAAACTCACTCCACCCAGCCCCCCCCAACAAGTCACTTCCCCTTCCATCATCTGTGTTGTCCTGGGTTTCATGGGTTGAATCCCAACAGGATATATTATTTATGCAATTTCTAACTGACCATTTGCATTATCAGTAATATTTACATCCGAAAAGCTAATTTTCTGGGGAAATACTGCAGGTACTTAAACTAGATTTCCTCTACTTAAGTAAACATAGTAAAACCACACGGTTGTAATAAATTGTTAATAGCAAAAGTCCTGTATTCAATTAAGCAAATAGGACTTGTTATTACCATCCTTTCTTGTGATTGGCCCTTACCTGTGAGTGAATGTAGGGTTAAAACACGTCCCTGTACAATAAGTAAAAGTATTTAATAGCCTCAAGATGTATTTAAAGTAGGCTTACAACAAGTATACAACTGCACACTTCAGAGTAATATTTGCAGTTATTTATGCATTAATGTGTTAGGGATTTAAAAAAAATGTGCCTTAGCCTAAAGTAATACATTTAGTGAGTATGTGTTCATTGTATTTTGTATAATTAATCTGAATCTTTAAAGAAACTAAAGCTGTCAGATACATATAGTGGATTAGAAAGTACAGTCTTCTGAGAGATAATGGAGCAGAAGTATACACCAGCAAGAAATAGAAAATACTCATAAACTACAAATACCTCAAAGTATGTATTAGAGTTACTTTCCAATACTGGAGGTAACATATCAGTGTCCTGATCTCAGATTAACTTTCCAAAGCGCTCCCTGTAATTCGTCTGCAGATAAACCTTTGACACCAATCAGATTACCCTAACCAGATGTAATGTCCGCGGTGCTAGAATGCTGCGTGGCATCGGAGCCCCTCTGTGTTTTAATGAGTGACTCCACCACCCCAGTGGGAAGAAGCATATGGACCTTAATTACCAGGTAGAATGTGGGGGGAGGGGAGGGTCTGTCGTCCCCAGCGCTAACGTCTTTTTTTGCAACAGTTCACCCTCTGTTCCCTTCGATTAATGTGCTGTGGCGTGGCTCTGTTGTAGCACGCTGGGGCCAGACTTGAAAAATGCGGGAGTCCCTAAATTAGGGTGGGGGGGACCCCATTGTGTCAGCCAGCTGAGTCCCCAACTGCTCAGAGACAGTGTTTAGGCTAAATGTTTCAGAGAAATAAACATGAAAAGTCAGATTTTGCTAAAAAAATAGCATCAGTGTTGATTCTCATTATAATTCCAGTGCATTTAATTAATAAAGCAAATATTCAGACTCTGCCTTTCATGGTTTTATCATTATGAAAATATATTTTGTCCACTGGTGGGACTTCTTCTTTTTAGAAATATGTATTTGATTCTCCTTTTTTAAGGTGAGGTTTATCAGTGGTGGGTTTCCACCTCTCATGCACATTTTATTTATAATATATTTTTCTCAGTTTGTGCGTTACTTTAGGGCTAAGAACAGTGTAGATAATGTAACACGAAGTCATTCTAAAGTAATACAACATGTTATTTGGGAGAACATTTCCTAAATATATCTCACTCATCCTGTCTGTTTTCTTCAGGCACCAATGACTCGATCTTTGTGAGAGGGCAGCAGTGGGCCCGCGGTGCTGGATGTCTGTGACGGTTCCATGGGCCAGAAGGACCATGAGGAGGCAGGAGTGGGACTCATCCTGGACCTGGGGCTGGATCTGGAGTACCTACACGTAGCAGGGGCCGAGCGGCAGGCTGGCTGCTCTGACGGGCCCCCTGCCATGGAGGAGCAGGGGGAGAGCCCCGGCAGCTGTGGCCCCACCAACGACCCTGAGGAAAATGGAGGGTCGGATGCAGAGTGCGAGCCGGCGCCTTCTCCCAGCGACCCAGACGGAGGCTTGACTCTCAGTAAGAACACGCACCAGCCGCTCTGTCGGACCCAGTGTGTGGACTTGGGCACCGACGGCCCTCCTGAGCTCCCATCAGAAGTTGAAGATGACACCCCAGCCCAGCCTTCACCCAGCTCCCCCTGTACGCTCCCCTCACCTGAGCCTCCGTGCGCCGCCTCCTCATCAGAGCCGGCCCTCGAGGGCGGAGGAAAGGAGTACCAGGCCAAGCTGGAGTTTGCCCTGAAGCTGGGATACTCGGAGGAGACGGTGCGCCTGGTGCTGTCCAAGCTTGGCCCCGACACCCTCATCAACGACATCCTGGGAGAGCTGGTCAAACTGGGCACCAAGTCAGAGGCAGAGCAGCCGGTCGGATCGTTAGCCTCTACCTCCTCCTCTTCATCCTCCTCTTCCTCTTGTGGCTGTTCTGATCTGCTGGAGAGCCAGAGGTCGGACTCGCCCTGTCCGTCAGATTCTCTGGGCGACCAGGACAACCTTCGGCCCGTGGTGCTGGACGGCAGTAATGTAGCCATGAGGTGAGCAGGCAATGGAAACATTGTAATGCATGTCTATTCAGTGTGTTTAAATCCTGCACAGTTACAGATAACTGGAACAAAACTATTAGAATTCAAATATTTGTATAATTAGATTCCAGTGTCAGTTGCATAGTATTGCCCCTGAGTCATGTGATCCAAACATCTATTGAAAAATGTTAAACGTACATTTTAAAGACATCTAACAAAATATTCCGGTTTAATCCATATTTGTTGGTGTTCAGGTTTTCAAAACATCATCTTCACTGGGGTTAAATTCATTCAAGTAATTTAATTAAAAAAGGACCTTCCTTACACCCCTAATTCAATCGTTGTAACATATCCTTTAGTGATCCAACACAGCCGACTTTAACATCACAGCATTACCTACGTCTCCATTGCATTCATCGGCATTCTCTCCTTTTATTATGTCCTACAGCCATGGCAACAAGGAAGTGTTTTCCTGCCAAGGCATCCAGCTGGCGGTTGATTGGTTCCTCGAACGTGGCCATCATGACATCACAGTGTTTGTGCCAGCGTGGAGGAAAGAGCAGTCCCGCCCCGACGCCCCAATAACAGGTCGGTGCAAGAGGCTGATCGATAGACACACACACTGCAGTCGATACGTTGTGAGTATTTTTCTCATAACTCCCTCCATCCACAGATCAGGAGACCCTGCGTCGCCTGGAAAAGGAGAAGATCCTGGTCTTCACTCCTTCTCGGCGCGTCCAAGGCCGGCGCGTGGTTTGCTATGACGACCGCTTCATTGTCAAGCTGGCCTATGAGTCAGACGGCATCATCGTCTCCAATGACAACTACCGAGACCTGGCTAATGAGAAGCCGGAGTGGAAGAAGTTCATCGATGAGCGGCTGCTCATGTACTCCTTTGTCAATGACAAGTAAGTGGAGGTGGATTAGGGAGGGGCTGATTGTGATATTTAAATTAATGAATTAATTGGTGTCATAAGAATTGAGGCATTTATAGTTTGTCTCTAATTTTAAACTTTCATATCTCATTCCCTTTTATCACTCTATCACATTTGACATTTAGTTTGACAAATGCCAAGACAGCTGACATTTTCACTTTGTTTTCAAAGGAGAATTACAGCTTATTTGATGCGCGCTAACTGCTTATTTCACTAAGAGATTCACCCAGTGTTTCCTGTCATATCTAATCCTGCCCTCCCTCCTCTCAGATTCATGCCCCCAGATGACCCTCTTGGTCGTCACGGCCCCAGTTTAGACAACTTCCTGCGGAAAAGACCTGTCATGCCTGAGCAGAAGAAACAGCCTTGCCCCTACGGTGAGAACACAGAGCATAAGAGTGACCTCAACTCAGATCACATATATAGACTTATCTTACATAATGTTCATTGTGATTTCCTTTTAAATAATCTTTCCTTTTGTCTCCAGGAAAGAAGTGCACTTACGGCCACAAATGTAAGTACTACCACCCAGAGAGAGGTGCTCAGCCTCAGCGTGCCGTAGCTGATGAGCTGCGTGCCATTGCCAAATCTTGTGTCACCACAAAGAACCAGGGGGACACTGGGTTGGTTAAGAGCCACAGTGTGCCAGCTGGCAGCCTTGATGCTAAAAAAGGTGCCCAGAAAAGGCAGTCAGACCCTAGCATCCGAGCCCTGTCGTACAGCGACGCGGAGGAGAAGTTGGCCAGAGGGAGGGCGGAAAGCCAGAAGAGCAGTATGTGTGGCAGTGGGAGTGTAACCATGTCTACGGCTCCAGGGGGCCCTCCGTCCTGTTTTAGCCTTCCCCAGGAGCAGCAGTCCAGATCTGTGACTCCTCATAGTCTCCCAGCCCCGAGCCACGACCTTTACCCTCACTGTGAGTCTCCAGACTTGAGCTACTACTCTGTGACTCGCGCTTACTCCGGCCTGAGCCTCTCCTCCAGACGCAGCCCTGACTGTCGCTTCCCCGCCGACTCAGACCTGCGTCTGGGCTCCATGGGCTCCGCTGGCTCTGAATGCGGCAGTGAAAGCAGCGTGAGTTGCGGCAGCAGCTGCGACTCGTACAGCGAGAGGCCGTGTCCTGCCTGCCCCGCAGACACATTAATGGAAGACAACGTCCATTTTGCTAACCCTCACAGCCGATTGTATCCCCATCATGTCGCGTCAAACCACGAACTGTGCGGCCTTCATCCTGCAGATTACGCCAACATCCAGCACGGCTACCACCTGGCCCGCGGGCAGAGCTGTGCTCACGACCAGCCCCCCCCCGAGGCTCCCCCAAAGCGCCCCCTCTACCCGCTGCCTCCTCACCTCCAGCACCAGCCGCTGACCGCTCGCTCCAGCTGCCCGGGCGACTATCACTCTCTGCCCCAGTCCAGCCCTCACCCCCCCGGCTCTCCTCTCGGACGCTGCCTGGCTCCGACGCGAGGGGAAAGCGTGTCAGACTCGCATCTTTACGAACACCACTCTACATCACACCATCACCCCCGGACAAAAGCGCTGCCCGGCTGGGACTCTTACTACAGACAGCCTCCATTGCCGCCGTCCAGGTACGAGCCGTCGGCCTATCAGAGCCTGCCGGACACCCGCCAATCATCCTGGCACGCCCGTCCCTGGGCCCAGGAAGGCTACACCCAGCACCACTCCTCCCACCCAGCGCTCCACCCATCCTCCACACATTACTTGAACCACCCCCCGCCTCCAGCCCACTCTCCTCACCCCCCTCATCCATCGAGCGCTCCTCTCCCACCGTACCCGCCTCACCTAACAATGCCCTCCCACGCTACTTCCTCCTACATGCCGCAGCACCCAGAATCCCCTGCACACAGCCGCTACGGGGACATGAGGGAGAAGGTGTACGTCAACCTGTGCAACATCTTCCCCTCGGAGCTGGTGAGCCGGGTGATGGCCAGGAGCCCCCACATCACAGACCCCCAGCAGCTGGCAGCCGCTATACTTGCAGAGAAAGCCCAAACAGGCTACTGAAAAACAAGGGAAAATGTGTTTTTTCTTTAAAATAAAATAGCAGTTATGTAGCCACATGTGGGTGGTTAGCAACCTGTGGTATTTCTTTGCAACACTTGAAAGCGCGTTGGGTTTGCATGGTGGAATTTGATATGTTATTTAATTGTCTGCAAGTGGAGATTAAATCTATTCAGCTCTGATCACTTAACTCAACTTTCACAAATGTGGGGAGAATTCTATTAGTGTGTGACGTGGAGAGTTTTTTCAGACCCAGTAAGACATTTTATTTATTTACTAGCTTATCATGAGTCTTTCACATGCACAACTTATTATGCATTAAAGTCAACAGGCACTCAGTTAGTTGGCATCCCGTACATCAAATCTGAGTAATATGAAGGATTATTTAAACATTTCCACCACCTTTACGACCAGGTTTTCTTTGAGATGGACTACACATTTTCATAATGTGCATTGTAGGCCCTCGAGAGTTAAGTCACAAATAACTATTTTAATGTGATTTGTTATGTGGCAAATCCACATCTAGTACGCCATGGTCACATGAGTTTCAAACAGCTACCTGACCAAGGCTTGTGTATAATATCAATATATTTGTGTGTGTGTGTGTGTTGTGCGGCCACTTGAGGGGCTTTTTTCATGTTGGTAAAAATGGGTGAATGCTGGTTGTCTTATTTGAGATAACGTCAGTATTTGGTCAGAGTTGTAGCTGTAGAGATGGGTGACCCTGTCGTGTGTACCTTAGTTTTAGTAAGGGACATCTCTCTTTCTCTCTATCTATCTCTCTAGCCCTGTAATTTGGGTCAACTCTGGTATCTGCTACAGACCGAAAACATCCGGACCTCAGTAAATCCAACATGTAAATATATTTAAGACTACCCTTGCTGTGTTTTTGGCTAAGAGCGTCTACTGTTGTCTGTAGCAGATCCCAGCTGAATCCATGCTAGACGGAGAAAACCTTGTTTGATACAAATTGTATCATTACCTAAGTCGCTGGTATATACAGTACATGGAATTGTTGATCTGTATCTATCAAACACTCTTGATGTATTGCTATATTATAAAATGCATTGACAACAGTTCCAATCGAGATCCAATTTATAATCTTGTGGAAATTGCCTTGAGACAATTATTTTATGTTTTGAAACAAAAGGGGTTGTCTGCCTACTATGTTTAGGTTTCACAACGTCTTTATCCGAGTTTTTGGGTTTGAAGCTGGCTTATTTTCAACAGGAGCTCCAATTAAATCACATGTGAGAATTATGCTTTGGTTAACTGGCCCAATAAAAAAAACAGAAGTCAACTAGTCTGTTATTTCACTGTGAGGTTGGGGTCAGTTCATTTTAAGCTCTTTTTTTTTGCCTGTAAAACTGGTATCCTTGAAATAATGGAGAACATTGATGTTTTATCAGTAACTTATCTATTAAATTAAACATTAAGTGGACAGACCCCAACCGTGTTTAATTAGTAACGTTTGTTTATATTGTAGTCAGTCCCAGATCCCATGGCGGCCATTCTGAAAGTCTGTAACACTCTCCTTCTACTTTGAGTATTTGCACATTTATAAAGCCACTTTTACTTTGACAAAAAGGACGAGGTCTTCATTCAAAAACACAAGTCAGTAAAGAAATATTGAGAAGAACAACCAATAATAAAGCTAGCTTATAAGACAAAATGCAAAACGTTTTGTTTTTTTAGGTGCATCACAGTATGGCAGTATAAACAAAGAACATGCTAAAACTTCTCCACACACAGGAGGTTACCTGAGCACTAACTAAACTGATGCTAACATGTACTTAATACACACCTGACATGCTTGAAAGGTCCTAAAAGGCACATTTGGATGTACGTTGCACTGCTGCTAGTTGGCCATTATATTCTGAATGAAGCATAACCCTATCAAGTTTAGTTGCACTTGACGCAAGTTCATAATGGCCGCCAAGGAATTGAAGTCTACCGAGTGAGCTCCTCAGACAGTTCACCAAAAGCCAGCTACATGAAGCCCACTGGTTTCTTTCCTGTCTTACGTGTCAGATTGTGCAAATGATGAATAATTGTACAACGACATGTGCTGTTGATGAGAGAGAACTTTTGTGTGTATTGAAGAAGCGCCTTCTCTCTGGCCTCCTGGCACTGTGTGTCAGTGTGGCCCCTGAGAGTGGGCCCAAAGTAATGCCTCTTCGTGGCATTGTGCTAATGACACATCCAATTCTCTGAACTATGTTCAGCTAACTGTTATGCATGTTTTCTTTTTCTTTTTTGTTTCTGCATGTTTTCTTGTGTTTTTAATTTGTGTATATACATAGTCGTGTTTCTGTCCCGGAAGCTTTGTCTTATTGTGACATGATTGTAGCTGTTGAGATGAACTTATACTCAAAATCTGGCTTGTTTTTTCTGCTTTTAAATGTTTTATCTCATATATTAGTTAGTATTCAGAACAACAACCCCTTTGACATATAGTATAAAGTAAAACATTAATATTATTGGTCCATTACTGCTTCCATAAGGCTTGACATTACTCCAAAGAATTAGGAAGCATGTTTTAAATACATCTGACTTTTCCCCACCATAATGTTCTTTGGAGGTGCACACTGTAATAGATGGTGATCATTGAAAACATTGTGATGAATTTTCTGTGTTGCAAATATTACAATACAGGCCACAATAATATAACACAACAATACAAATAAAATGTCTCTTTTCTAATTTATATTTGCATGTTGCTAGTAGTACGTGTAACTGATTGATTATTGTAACATTCTCAACTGTAACTGTGATTGTATAATAAACAATACTGCTATAAAACATTAGGACAGTAGGACATACTCTGAGCTATTGTTAGTGTTTTCTATATTTTGTCACAAAAAGAAAATGTGAAAAAACAAGTCATGTGCAAACAGTCAGTGATTGTACCGCTCAGGTAAGCTAAGTCTTGAGTTCGATCCTCATGAGGCGCAGGAGTTTTCAAAATCTCCAACCCAAAGTTGAGAATGAATTTACCAAATGAAAGGTTTACCTCTCAGGTCAGATGGCTCAGAGGGATAGAAGACTGACTGTGAGACTGCAGGTTGTGGGTTCAAGGCTTATCAGGTGCAGTCATCTTGAAGGTACACAAACCCGAATGAACATGACATAAGCTCTACAAAACAATAATGTCTCAGGTCAAATAAGAGGAGCTTGGGCTGTGTATTTTAAGGTCCAAACCTGAGGTGAAAATCACAAAGAGACCAGGGAACATCTCACTGTGTCAGGTCGGATGGCTCACTGTGATAAGAACCCGTCTTGGAGACCAGAGAACGTGAGTTCGAACCTCGGGCGGTCCACTGGGTTTAAAGATCCCAGGAGTTTGAGTCTTGTGCCATGCAGAGTTTTAATGTGTCTTTCCCTTGATGAAGAAGTCAAATACAAGTAAAAGCAAAGAACTGTCATCAGGTCTCATAGCTCAAGGAGATAGAAGGGTGGTTGGTAGACCAGAGGTTGCTGGTTCGAGACATATACGTTGCAGAGAGCAGGTCGATAAGTATAAGGGGGTAATGAATACGTTAATAGGGTGAATAGATGAATAGGTGAATAGGATGCTAATTAACGGAATAGAAGAAAGTAGGGTTAGGAAGTAAGAGTGAATAGGATACTACTAAGTAAGAGTGAATAGGATACTATCTTAGGAACTGGAAATGAAGAAAGGAGACAAATGTATTTTAAGAAATGTTTGCTTTATTCACATTTATTGATTTTATTCATACATAGCAGTGCAGCCTTTTCCCCAAGTCTGCTAAACGTCCCCAAGTCGGCTAAGTCTGCTAAACGTCCCCAAGTCTGCTAAGTCTGCTAAACGTCCCCAAGTCGGCTAAGTCTGCTAAACGTCCCCAAGTCGGCTAAGCCTAATAAGCGGCCGATAGGTGGCTGCCGGCTCTCACTGCACTCCTGTGCAGGGGCCTGCAGTCACTGCCGATAGTCTGCTAAGTCTGTAGGCCTGCTAAGTCTGCTAAGTCGGGGGGGCTGACGTGGCTGGGGGTGGGGCGCTCTGCACCCCAGCCACCGCCCCAAGTCGGCTAAGTCTGCTAAGTGGCTGTGGGCTCTCACTGCAGCCACATCGATAGTCTGTTAAGTCTGCTATACGTCCCTCAGGCTGCTAAGTCTGCTATACTTCCCCAAGGCTGAAAACGTCCACAAGTCTTTCAGAAACATAGGCTGCTGGGGTCTTAATTGATGCCGTGGCGGGGGGTGGGGTCCTCTCTTCACTCTCTGTGGGAAGAAAAGAAGAAAAAGACACCATGAAGTCAGTATAGCTAACCCTAACCCATGGAAACATCGTATTTGATGTGGAAATAAGGCACGGTTTAGTGCGTAGAAACAAGGCGTAGTATAGTATGTCGATAACGATGACAGAAAAGTCATAATATAGAATTTTAAAAAATGGAACATTTTGAAACGACTAACCCAATGTCGGAGAAATGCTAAAAGAAAACATCGTACAGTATGTCGAAAATATCAGAAAAGTCATAGTATAGTACCGTAAGTTCTTCAGGATCTCCAGAAGCCACCGTCTTCATTGATGTCAGATGAGTGTCCTCGCAGTCCTGTGGGGAGAAGAGAAGAAAAAGACACCATGAAGTCTGTATAGTATGTCTAAAATGTCAGTAAAAACTACAAAGTATAGTAGTTTTAGAAAAAAAACTAATAATATATTAGGATGAAAAATGTTAATAAAAAATGACATAGTATAATATAGTACAATCAGACATTTTGAAATTAACGACATAGTATAGTATGTCGGAAATATCAGAAAAGTCATAGTATAGTACCGTAAGTTCTTCAGGATCTCCAGAAGCCACCGTCTTCATTGATGTCAGATGAATGTCCTCGCAGTCCTGTGGGGAGAAGAGAAGAAAAAGACACCATGAAGTCTGTATAGTATGTCTAAAATGTCAGTAAAAACTACAAAGTATAGTAGTTTTAGAAAAAAAACTAATAATATATTAGGATGAAAAATGTTAATAAAAAATGACATAGTATAATATAGTACAATCAGACATTTTGAAATTAACGACATAGTATAGTATGTCGGAAATATCAGAAAAGTCATAGTATAGTACCGTAAGTTCTTCAGGATCTCCAGAAGCCACCGTCTTCGTTGATGTCAGATGAATGTCCTCGCAGTCCTGTGGGGAGAAGAGAAGAAAAAGACACCATGAAGTCAGTATAGTACGTCTAAAATATCAGAAATGGTCATAGTATAGTACCGTAAGTTCTTCAGGATCTCCAGAAGCCACGGTCTTCGTTGATGTCAGATATACTTGCACTCGGTGTTCCGGGAAAAGAAGAAAAATACACCATGAAGTCAGTTTAGTAGAATGAAAATATATATAATATATAAAAATGCAAAACATCATAAATAGTCATAGTATAGTATGTCGGAAATATCAGAAAAGTCATAGTATAGTACCGTAACTTCTTCAGAAACTCCAGAAGCCACCTTCTTCATTGATGTCAGATGAGTGTCCTCGCAGTCCTGTGGGGAGAAGAGAAGAAAAAGACACCAGGAAGTCAGTTTAGTAGAATGAAAATATATACAGTGGGGCAAAAAATATTTAGTCAGCCACCAATTGTGCAAGTTCTCCCACTTAAAAAGATGAGAGAGGCCTGTAATTTTCATCCTAGGTACACTTCAACTATGAGAGACAGAATGGGGGGAAAGAATCCAGGAAATCACATTGTAGGATTTGTAATGAATTAATTGGTAAATTCCTCAGTAAAATAAGTATTTGGTCACCTACAAACAAACAAGATTTCTGGCTCTCACAGACCTGTAACTTCTTCTTTAAGAGCCTCCTCTGTCCTCCACTTGTTAACTGTATTAATGGCACCTGTTTGAACTCGTTATCAGTATAAAAGACACCTGTCCACAACCTCAAACAGTCACACTCCAAACTCCACTATGGCCAAGACCAAAGAGCAAGGACACCAGAAACAAAATGGTAGACCTGCACCAGGCTGGGAAGACTGAATCTGCAATAGGTAAGCAGCTTGGTGTGAAGAAATCAACTGTGGGAGCAATTATTAGAAAATGGAAGACATACAAGCCCACTGATAATCTCCCTCGATCTGGGGCTCCACGCAAGATCTCACCCCGTGGGGTCAAAATGATCACAAGAACGGTGAGCAAAGATCCCAGAACCACACGGGGGGACCTAGTCAATGACCTGCAGAGAGCTGGGACCAAAGTAACAAAGGCTACCATCAGTAACACACTACGCCGCCAGGGACTCAAATCCTGCAGTGCCAGACGTGTCCCCCTGCTTAAGCCAGTACATATCCAGGCCCGTCTGAAGTTTGCTAGAGAGCATTTAGAATGATCCAGAAGAGGATTGGGAGAATGTCATATGGTCAGATGAAACCAAAATAGAACTTTTTGGTAAAAACTCAACTAGACGTGTTTGGAGGAGAAAGAATGCTGAGTTGCATCCAAAGAACACCTACTGTGAAACATGGGGGTGGAAACATCGTGCTTTGGGGCTGTTTTTCTGCAAAGGGACCAGGACGACTGATCCGTGTAAAGGAAAGAATGAATGGGGCCATGTATCGTGAGATTTTGAGTGACAACCTCCTTCCATCAGCAAGGGCATTGAAGATGAAACGTGGCTGGGTCTTTCAGCATGACAATGATCCCAAACACACCGCCCGGGCAACGAAGGAGTGGCTTCGTAAGAAGCATTTCAAGGTCCTGGAGTGGCCTAGCCAGTCTCCTGATCTCAACCCCATAGAAAATCTTTGGAGGGAGTTGAAAGTCCGTGTTGCCCAGCGACAGCCCCAAAACATCACTGCTCTAGAGGAGATCTGCATGGAGGAATGGGCCAAAATACCAGCAACAGTGTGTGAAAACCTTGTGAAGACTTACAGAGAACGTTTGACCTCTGTCATTGCCAACAAAGGGTATATAACAAAGTACTGAGATGAACTTTTGTTATTGCAAATACTTATTTTCCACCATAATGTGCAAATTAATTCATTAAAAATCAGACAATGTGATTTTCTGGATTTTTTTCTTCTCATTCTGTCTCTCATAGTTGAGGTATAGCTAGGATGAAAATTACAGGCCTCTCTCATCTTTTTAAGTGGGAGAACTTGCACAATTGGTGGCTGACTAAATACTTTTTTGCCCCACTGTATAATATATAAAAATGCAAAAAATCAACATAGTAAGTTGACAACATCATAAATAGTCATAGTATAGTATGTCGGAAATATCATAAAAGTCATAGTATAGTACCGTAACTTCTTCAGAAACTCAAGAAGCCACCGTCTTCATTGATGTCAGATGAGTGTCCTCGCAGTCCTGTGGGGAGAAGAGAAGAAAAAGACACCAGGAAGTCAGTATGTCGAAAATATCAGAAAAACCTTCTGGTTTACTGTCAAAAAATCTGGGAAAAACAACATAGTATAGTATGTCCAAAATGTAAATACAAATAGCATAGTATACTATGACTATGTTGGAAATGGTCATAGTGTAGTATTTTGGAAAAGTCAGAAAAGTCATAGTATAGTACAGTGGCGTTGGCAGATATCAAAGAGTGGTTGGGCCCAGCCCGTTCAAGACCACACATACTTAATATGCCCTAAAACGCATGTTAACTGAAATAAGCCAGTCAGAATGGACCTCCTTGAGTTCTCCGATTGGTTGGTTTTGTGGCACATTTGTAACGCTGTGCCAACTTGAGCGAGCACAGGGTGGAGAGGTTGAGCGAGGGAGAGAGAGAGAGAGAGAGAGGGAGAGAGAGCGCGTGCAGCAGCACGGAGCAGGAGTTTGTGAGAGGGCTTAGAGTAAATTGTG